TAAGCTTGTCAGCTTTGCGCTGATTGGCTAGTCGCATTTTCTCAAATCACCCAGAGTTTTTAGTGGTTTTATTATTTGTTTACATAATACATGCATGTTTTGTTTTGTTTTGTTTTTTCCAAAGGGTAGAATACTTGGAATAGGTACGTATACCGAGCTAGCTTCATCTGGTATTGACTTGATATCTCTAATCAAGACCAAGCCTACCCAAGACGCCGAAGATAGCTCAGTTGATAGTGCATTAGAAGAAGAGGAATCGAGTGAATCGTCTATGCTGATAATACCAGACAAAAGCCCAAAGAGATCGAGTTCTATAAAAGCATTGTGCAATCGAAGAAGTTTCTCGTCATTGACTGACATAGAGCTTAAGCTGGACACTCCTGCAAATGAGGTAGGGATGATTTTAATGAGATCTTTTTAGATACACCTTTACATTTATCTCTGTTTTTATGCCAGAGTCGCAGAACGTTTTCACATTTATCCCCAAACAATTGTTGAAATTTTCCTTCTACAAAGCAGAAAGTGCACTGATAAAAGCAAAGATAATTTATTTAAGACTAGATAGGACACGTGCGGGATGACATGAAGCGCGGTGGAGATCGGAGAAGGTCTCTACAGGGGCGCTTCTGTTTTGCTGATTTACTAGAATTCAGGCTAGTAAGGAAACTGCAAATCTTTCATTCCTGTTTGCTTACTTTTTTCAGTCCCAGATAGCACAAGAGGTGGATGTTGAGCCTGAGGACCGGCTGCGCGGCAGCATTCCTTGTCGGTTTTACTTAAGACTGTTCAACACAGGTGCAAACTTTTATGTCCTGGCGCTTTTGTTTATTCTCTTCATTCTTACTCAGGTTTGTAATTCTATTACACCGATATATAGAAACCTAACGGTTGTAAATACGTCTTCTCTCGAAGACGCTGTGCGTTTGAAAAGGTACAAAGACAGTTTCATCAAAAATGTAGAGCTTATTGAGTGGTATAATTAACATTACTATTTGCCTTCATGAGTGAAAATGTTATGGCTAAAGGTTGTATCTAACTGAATATTGACAGTCTCTGCAATCCATTTTAGGGAGCTTATACCTTCGGGGACTGGTGGCTAGCGCATTGGTAATATACAATCTTGCATGTTATTTATAGTCGGATATGGGAAGTGTGTTGTTTGTTGTGTTGGTAATGCATAGTGTGAGTAATTATTCTTCTTTCGATATCTCAAAACATTCATACATCACTTGCATTACCATGCCTCCAGGTCAGAAACTAACTCAAGATTTGTCGCAGAGCAGAATCGCCTGTCTATACTACCATCAAATGCAACCGACTCTCCTCACCAAGAATTTAATAAGTTCTTCTACATTTACGTCTATCTTGGTGTTGTCATAGCAACTTTACTGTTTTCCATTGCGAAGGTGTTTCTGTTTTTCCATGTCAAAATCAACGCTTCAAAAAACCTGCACAATCAAATGTATGACGCAGTTATCA